CTGTTGTGACTATATTTAATTTAATTTAGTGAGGTCTAGGAAATCTTATTTTCTGTATTGCAAAGTAATCGTTACTGTTTTGAATCTGTATTTCCATCTCATACACAATACACAATACAATATACATAGTAGGCACAATATTTTCGAGATATAAGTTGGGGAGGCTACATCAGTTTTTAGTGCAAGATTTTCTTCAGGCTATAGTCCCCTGATAAAAAAAAAATCGAATTACATACAAGTAACAAAATTAAAATACAACTACTCTCGAATTCGAGCAACAAATCTAAAACAACAAAAACAAAAAGAACATAAAACAAAAATATAAAAAAACATTAAGATTAAAATGTTCTGTAAAGTACTGTAACTGCAATTCACTAGGTTTTTTTGTAGGTTATCAATCAATTAATGTCACTATATCAAATGGTGACACCTATCGTAAGCCGTAGCTTGTCAATTATAGGCACGCTTGTGAACGTAACTACATTTGTAAAAGAGAAAAGAATCAACAGAAGTTGAAAAGAAAAACATTTTATAAGATACGAAGGAATCCGTCGAACAACAAACATCTCACTATGGCTAAAAACTCTCGGCAAATTAAAAACATGCGAATAGTAACTGTAACAAATTTGTAAAGATCTAATAGCGGTTACATTGTAATTTTCCCACAATGAAGCACAGTAGACATTTATACAGTAACTATTAAAGAGCATGCATTTAACATTATTCTTCATAAGATTTAGGTTTGATTATCGTTGATGAAAATTTGTATACGAATCTGCGTTTTTTTTTTTTTTTTTTAAAGAAGACTGTTTTGACTTCTCTGTCAGCATCGTTGCTTTGCTCGTTTATGTCTGATAAGGTTACTAATAATATAGTCAGTGTTTTAGTTGGTAAAAAGGTCGGTCCAATTGGATTTGATAGCGCCCTCTCTTGCCATTTACTAGGCAGACTTTTACGCCCGTATTCTTAAAACAAACTTTAGTTGAACTTCGAACTAGAACTTCATTTAGTGCTAGTTACATCTTTAACTTCAATTTGTATTCACAAACAATGTAGTCGAAGTTTTAACTACGACTAAATCAAGTCCTAGTTTTAGTTCAACTGAAGACGACTGGCAATCCACGACTATCAAACTAACCAATGAAAAGGGCTAAATTTAATAGCAGACAAAATTTTAGAGATCCGGTAACGCGGATGAATATTAAGCTGCCGTCTGTGGTTCAAAAGCTTACTTCCTCATAATTTATAATAGACCATCATTCCCTTAATTAATTGTCTATAATAATAACTATATTAGTTGTTAACATATTACCATAGAGAATTTGAACAGACACTGAAAATTTGCTTTCTTTGGAGGACCGTTATAGTTGAGCCCGAGCGAGGGCGGCGCCATCTTTGTTGTTGTTATGGTGAAGCTAGGTGATTGCAACGCGAGGGGATTATATGGCGAGCCGAGTTGTCATTTAATCGTAAATAGAGATATCTTAGTGTTAAATAGAGATATCTTAGTTTTTAATAGAGATATCTTAGTTTTAACTAAGATATCTCTATTAATAGAGATATCTTAGTTTTAAATAGAGATATCTCTATTAAAAACTAAGATATCTCTATTTAAAACTAAGATATCTCTATTAATAGAGATATCTCTA